TGGCTCTGCCTATCTAGAGGCAGAGCCAGCTGTACCCGCCCCCTCCCCCGTCCGATCCGCCAGTCAGCGCTGGCAGATCGGGGAGGGGGGAATCCAGCCCCTCCTGTCACGGCAGAGAGCTGTGACAGGATCGAGAGGTGAGCCGCTGTGTTCACTCACCTCCCGATCTACTTAGCTGATCTGTGACAGTCTCATTGTCACAGGTCGGCTAGAACTATGAGGTGAGAGAAAAGCACTCACCTCATAGTTCTCCTTTAAGCAAAAAAAAAAAAAAAGGAAATCTACAGCTAGTGTCCGCCATTCACTCAAATACCCCAGTATGTATTATGTCCCAGTACCCTTGGACATTTGCAGCCAGTAGCTAGTCTGACACTGGGAGTATGCAAACACCCTGTGAAACTAACTAGAGGTGAGAATCTGCCTACATATTACAAACTACTGAAATATGCTACAGCAAGCACATAAGCTGCAAAACTGTCAGGACAGTAAGTGAGGTGAAATCTACCAAAGAGGTATAATGGTCCGTCTGTCTTTCTTTGTTAATTGCCTTTTTCTTGCCATTTTGAGAGCAATATACTACTTCCTGCAGAAGAATACTGTCCAAATATTGCTTATGATGGTGTGGTAAAAGTCTGTTCCAAAACTGTTTTTATACAGAGGGCTTATGAGTAATCAGAAGTTGGGACACCTGTAGGAATTGTTAGCTTAAAAACTTTCAAGGCATAATTTACGTACATTTTGGCAAAACAACTGAGTTGTTAAACCATTACTTCTTCCCCCAAAAAGGCCTTTTTGTAGAACTTTGAAATGTACATTTTAAAAGTAATTTTTTTTTTACACCTCTGGCAGTTTACAGCTTACCTTTGTACCATTTCAGATTATTCACTGGAGTTGAACTGCTTACATTTCATCTACTTGTCCCTCATGACATTAGTCGCTGCCCCGGTTCCTGATTGCACGGGAAGCTGGCTCCATATTCCCCTACGGCAAAGCCGGTCAGAGGAAATCTTCCACTGACCAGAAGTTCCAGTATTGGGGAAGGTATCGGAGCATTTGGACAAGTACTTGCCCAAATATTCTGTATTGGTGCATCCCTAATCAAAACTGTATATGACTGTGCTAAATAGTGCTTCTCATTGGTCAGCTGACCAATGAGAGCTTGCAATTTTAGAGGGCTTATGAGTAATCAGAAGTTGGGACACCTGTAGGAATTGTTAGCTTAAAAACTTTCAAGGCATAATTTACGTACATTTTGGCAAAACAACTGAGTTGTTAAACCATTACTTCTTCCCCCAAAAAGGCCTTTTTGTAGAACTTTGAAATGTACATTTTAAAAGTAATTTTTTTTTTACACCTCTGGCAGTTTACAGCTTACCTTTGTACCATTTCAGATTATTCACTGGAGTTGAACTGCTTACATTTCATCTACTTGTCCCTCATGACATTAGTCGCTGCCCCGGTTCCTGATTGCACGGGAAGCTGGCTCCATATTCCCCTACGGCAAAGCCGGTCAGAGGAAATCTTCCACTGACCAGAAGTTCCAGTATTGGGGAAGGTATCGGAGCATTTGGACAAGTACTTGCCCAAATATTCTGTATTGGTGCATCCCTAATCAAAACTGTATATGACTGTGCTAAATAGTGCTTCTCATTGGTCAGCTGACCAATGAGAGCTTGCAATTTGCCAGCAAAATTCAAAATGCATAGGGCTGGACTGTACAGGCAGAGGGTAAGGACTGTTCACCAAAAAGTAAAAGTAAGTATAGCTAGGGGGAAGGGGGGGTTCTGGGAGAGGCCGGGCCAGATTTGATTGGGTAATTCCATTTTCCCATATTACTAGGGAAAGTGAGCTTGCTCTTTACTCTTTCGCTCACCTCATAGTTCGAGCTGACGTGCGACAATTAAACTGTCACAGGTCGGCTCTATAGATCAGGAAGTGAGGGAACACATACCGGCGCTCGCTCACTTCTTGATCCTGTCCCTGCAGAGAGCCGTAACCGTCACTCATGGCTCCCTGCAGGGATTCTCCCCCTCCTCCAGCACTGACTGGAGGAACGAACGGGGGAGGGTGCGGGTACAGCTGGCTCTGCCTCTAGATAGGCAGAGCCAGCTGTCAATCATGCAGCTGGGTGGATCTCGACAGTAATGTCAGGATCCGTGTCGGCTGTGGCGGTCTCAAGTATATAGTTAGCTGTAGCTCGCGGTATACTGAGCTTTGGGTCACGGGAGGACGCTAGTTTATGTCCTCCCGTGACCCTTAAGGGAACTATGGGGAAAAACACTGACCCCATAGTTCTCCTTTAATGCACATTGTGCGTGAAGGAGAGTTCTGCTGCTTGGCTAGCACAATATGGCGCACAGTAGAATGGCGGCAGCACTCAGCGCACACGCACAATGTCCTATGCATGCATTTATTTGCATGCAGATGACGGTGGCAGCGGGGTTGGTTTTAACTTTTTTTTTTTACTTTATCACTTTTATTTTTTAATTATTTTTTCTCCCACTTAATTTTATTCCCATCACATAGGGCTTAAAAACTCCTATGTGATAGTTTGGAGGTGACAGGTTCTGTGCAGTTCCTGACGGCTGAGACAGGTGGCGCTGTGATCACAGCGCCACGGTCTCAGTGATTACACAGAGCAGACGAAGAACGTCCGTTCTTCGAGCTCTATGGTCAGCTTGTGTGCCGTGGTCACGGCGGCGGTGATCTAATTAGAACAAAAAAAAGAGTGGCGGCCCCACGCTGTACATTTAGCACTGCTTGTCCGGAGCAGGGCTAAATGTAAAAGGAAATTTTAAAAAAACCTACTCGCCCGGCGGCTGAAACTGCATGTTTCGGGCGATAGGAATTCCACACCTACACACGGAGGAACAGTGTTGCCAGCCAAAGCTGCTTGCTCCTGATTTGGAGTGGGGTGAAGGACCTCTTCTCCATAATGGGGGGGGGGGGGGTGTTCTCCACTAGGCAGGGCGGATTACTGCTCAGGATTATAGTGCAGCAGAGGCACTGTGTTGTCTGCTCACGACAAAGTTTTGCGTTTACTGGATTTGTGGTATTTTTATTTTTTGCATGTATTGAACAGATATAACCCTTGCTCTAATGGCATATCTAACAAACCATAAGGAAACAAAAAAGCAAAACACAATCGGAACAGTGGAACAAGCAAAGCAATCTACAGACAATGAAAATATCATTTTATCCTTGCAGCTGGAAAATAAGTGTAAAATATAGTTGCATACCTTCAGATCACAAGTAGTGTTTAGCAGCAAGTTTGATGGTTTGAGATCACGATGTAAAACATTGGCTGAATGGATGTACTTCAGACCTCTCAGGATTTGGTAGAGGAAATAACAGATGTGGTCATTGCTAAGGTGCTGGGTCTTTAGGAGCTTGTACAAATCAGTCTCCATGAGGTCCTGAACAATGTATCTGAATATTTATGTTAAGGCATGAAAACTTAAATTTAACAATTTTAAATTAGCCATAAGCCTCCTGAATACACAGCTTCACCCACCTGGCTATTGAAGACTTTGAGGCCTGTTTCCTCTTATTTTTCCCTGCATCCGATTTCCTAAATGCCTTAGTCACCCTAAGGTACTCCACCAGACACCGTCTGACGTCTAGATTATGAAAGCCTGCCTCTTTCTGATTAGCCGGACTACTGCAGAATTAAGGCAAAACGATCTCTTGAAATCTATGAAAATGTGATGAAACCTTTGGCAAAAAAGCCGGATCTGTCTAAGATCACTCTGTCCTCAAAAACCGTCAACTACGGTTCCCTTACAGACAGAGCCTGCAATTCGCTCACTCTCCTAGCTGAGGTTATAGCAACCAGGAACACCGCTTTCAACGTTATCATCTTGATCGCAAGAGCAGACAGAGGTTCAAAAGGGGGAATCATCAGACCCTGTAGGACCAGTGACAAATCCCACTTCGGAATGGAACAACTCATAATTGGCCTAATTCGTTTGAGAGCGGTAAAGAACCTACTCACCAGTGGATCATTAGCAAGGGAGTACTGAAAATACACGCTCAGTGCCGAGACTTGGACTTTCAACGTGCTGATAGCCAAGCCCCCGTCAGCCCCTTCCTGAAGGAAATCCAGCATAGATGGAATATTTGCATCCCTGTTATGTCTCCCCTTCCAGGAGCAGAACGTTTTCCACACCTTCCCATAAATTTTCCTCGTAACTAACTTACGGCTGGATAATAAGGTGCCAATCACCCTGGAAGACAGACCCTTGTTTTTTAGAATCATCTCCTCAGATAGAAGGCATGGAGGGGCAGCCTGTCCACTGCTGGATGCATGACCGGCCCCTGTGACAACAAGCCCTGGCTGATCGGAAGTGGCCAAGGCAGTCGGTCCATCAAGGACAACACCGTCGTAAACCACGCTCTCCTGGAACAAAAAGGTGCTATCAGTATCAAGGCTGTCTTGAAAACGACTCAGATAGTCCGCCAGAGTATTCTGCGTTCCCTTTAGGTGCACTGCCGAAAGGGAACCCAGATTCACTTCTGCCCAAAGGAAGATTTATTTCGCTATCGCCTGAAGGTAAGAACTCCTGGTTCCCCCGTTTGTTTAGGTAACACAGTGGCTATATTGTCCGAGAGCACTAGCAGATGTTGATGCCTTATCTGATCTCGAAACGCCAGGACCGCGTTTAAAACCACTCAGTTCCCTCCAATTGGAGGACATTCTTGCCTCCCGCTGGGACCACTGTCCCTGAGCCATCCGATCCTGCAGGTATGCTCCCCATCCCCAGGCACTTGCATCCGTGGTCAACCTTATGGTAGTGGGAAGAAAAGACCATTGAAGACCCCCTGACAGGGAACTTCGGTTTCTTCACCACAAGTCCCTCCTCACGGAAGGAGGAACAATAACCGCTGCATCCAAGGTATCCTGTGAATGGTCCCACCTTTTCAACAGGAACCCCTGCAGACCCCGCTGGTGGAATCTCACCCACTGAACAGCCGGTAGACAGGATGTCATGAGACCCAACACAGACACGATCTCCCTTAAGGACTGCCATCTGATCCTGCAGGTGTGCTCCCCATCCCCAGGCACTTGCATCCGTGGTCAACCTTATGGTAGTGGGAAAGGACCATTGAAGACCCCCTGACAGGGAACTTCGGTTTCTCCACCACCATAAGACCCTCCTCACGGAAGGAGGAACAATAACCGCCGCATCCAAGGTATCCTGTGAATGGTCCCACCTTTTCAACAGGAACCCTTGCAGACCCCTCTGGTGGAATCTTGCCCATTGAACAGCCGGTAGACAGGATGTCATGAGACCCAACACAGACATGATCTCCCTTAAGGACCTGGGACAATTCGTCTGTAAGTGTCTAACCGCATTCCCCACTTTCAGAATCTTTTCTTCCGGAAGGAAGGTCCTCTGTTCCACAGTATCCAGGATGTACCCCAGAAACACCGTAACTTGAGAGGGGACAAGATTGGACTTTTGTAAATTCACTACACATCCCAGTTCCTGCAACCAAACCTGCGTAACTTCCAGGTCTCTGGTGCATTGAGCCCCTGAGCTGGCAGACAGTAGAATGTCGTCCAAATAGGGGATGATGCAAATCCCCTGCAGCCGCAAAGGAGCTATTGCCTCCCCCAAAACTTGCGTAAAAATGCAAGGGGCTGAGGACAGCCCGAAAGGAAGTGCTCTGAACTGGTAATGTACCACCGTCTGACCTACTCTTACCGCCAGGCGTAAAAAAATTTGTGACGTCCTGTGAATGGGTATGTGGAGATAGGCATCCCTTAAATCTAGAGTTGCTAAAAAGGAATCCTTTTGCAACAGATTCCGGACAGAAAAGATGGGGTCCATGCGGAACCTCTTGTACTTGATCGCTAAATTCAAGAGTTTGAGATTTAGGATCAACCTGTACTTCCGACAGCTTTTGCACAACAAATACATGAGTACAGGCCCTGACCCTTCTGATCCAGAACCTGAATAAGCACTTTTTGATCCACCAACTCTCCCAACAGAAGGCAAAGAGCGTCTGCTCGAGATGCGTTCCCTGGGAGATTTGTGATCAAAAAACGATGGGGTGGGGGGCTGCAGAACTCCAACCTGTAACCCTCTTGGATTAGATTGAGGATATACCGATTGGAAGTAATCTCCCTCCAACGAGGGAGAAACCCCGATAGCCTTCCTCCCACCCTCACACAGAAGTCACTGTTTTGGAGCTTGGGAAGGAGGGTTAGTAAAAATACTCCCCTTTCCCTTGCCTTTCTGCCCCGTCCAGTGTTTTTTGGGCTGTTCCCCCTTCGTATTCTGACCCTTGTTTCTGGGCCACTTAAAGAACCTACGAAAGGGCTTTTTCTCTGGAAAAGACTTCTTCTTGTCAGCTGTACGTTCTAATATGGCCTCCAATTCAGGCCCAAAAAGAAGATCGCCACTAAACGGGAGATTTCAAAGCCTCAATTTTGAGGCCGCATCCCCCTCCCAGGCCTTCTACCAAATCGCCCTGCGAGAAGAATTGACCAAGGCTCTCGTCCTAGCGGCCATTCTGACCGATTCGGCTGAAGCATCTCCCATAAAAGCAATGGCCTTGAACAGCATTGGAAGGGAATCTATGATCTGTTCTCTCGGCGTACCCGCCAGCAAGTGATTTTTCAACTGGGTAAGCCAATATTCCAGGTTTCTGGAAACACAAGTTGTTGCCAAGGCAGGCCTGAGACTCGTGCTAGCAGAGTCCCATGCCCTCTTAAGCAATACCTCAGCCTTCCGGTCCATAGGGTCTTTTAGTACCCCCATATCCTCAAAGGCTAGGTCTGATTTTCTCGAGACCTTTGACAACAACGCATTTTAGGAACCTTGTTCCACGTCATCGATGCGTCTTCAAAGGGAAACCGTCTCTTTAGGCTGTTGGAAAAAAGAGGTTTTCCCTCTGGTTCAGCCCATTCCTTACAGATTGCATCTGCAAGTACTTTGTGCACCGGGAAAATTCTTGCTTTCGGCTGCTGGAGCCCCTGGTACATCAAATCTTGCCTAGAAAGCAGCACTTTTTCCTCCTGAATATCTAGAGTATCATACACGGCACCCAACAATTCATCTACCTCTTCTAGAGTTAACTTATACTTAGAGGTAGGAGGACCAAAGTCCCTGTCACTGTCCTCTCCAGCAGACGATCCCTGATGAGAGGATGCAGAGACGCTATACTCCTCTGGCTCCCTCTGACAGACCTCTCCTGACCCAGACCCTGTGTGGAGAAGCTGAGCCTGAGCCGGAGGCCCGGGCACCAAACCCTGTGTTGCAGCTGGTCTCAAATCTGCTATCAGGGATCTAAAAGAGGAAAAGGTAGAGACTAGTTCTTCCCTAACAGTGGACAACAAGCCACCGCATGCTAAGGCAGATTCTTCTCTGCACACCCCTTCAATGCATTTTTGACAGAGCGGTTTCTTCCAATCAGTTCCCAGCTTCAAGTAGCACAGAGCACATTTTCTTTTTGGGACAGCCTTGCCCTTAGAAACCTGGACCTGCAACACAGAACAGCAGAAGCAGAATTAACTCTCTGCTAACCGCATGTAAAAAAAGTCATAGTGCCCCCTCAACACCCTAAGCCCAACACCAAGGAGCCCCAGGTGGAGGAAAATAGCTACAGTCAGAACTACAGGGGGGGATATACAGGGAAGTATCCACCTACCTGAGCAGAGCTGGTGCCTGAAGGACCTGCATCCATCTGTGCAGTCTGCAGAAGAGGAACAGGATCCATCCTGGGGAAGACTAGTACTCCCATCGGCGATCTCTCACAGAAAAGCCTGTGAACATGCCTCATGCACCAGCCAGGCCCAGCCCCATTCCTCTGTGCCGGAAATGAGGCCTGGAACGCAAGGCCGCGGCGCCCGGAAGGCCGTCACCCGTACAGGAGGTGACCTAGTCGGCCATCCGATCTGGCCGTGGAGAACCTCCCAGAATCCCCGGACCGGCCCCTGACTGCTGAGCCACTCGGTCCCAGGATTAAACCAAGGTGGCAACGCAGGATCCGGTGCTAGCCCTCCCCGGGCACTGAAGGACGAAGGATCCGGTGGGGAATCCCCACAGAGGAGCTCACCGGCGGCCCACTAAGGTACTTCTCACCCTTACAAGGGTCTCACTGAGAGGGAACACAGGGTACCGTTCCCACATCCCCCCACCGTCTGGTGACATGTCTCCCCCTGAAGGAGGAAACACAAAAAACTGAGGAGCTAGGAGAGAGGCGGGCCTTTTAAAACTAGGGGTGGCGCGTTTCCTGCTAAAAGGGGTGGAGCCTATCTCTCGTAAGCCGTTCTGGAAGACGAAGGGGAAATACCGACTACCTCATCGATGCTTACTGCATGAATAGAGGAATCCCTCCGCTGGTTTATTGTATTCTGACAGCAACAGGGCCAAACACTGGCTAAATCTGACCAGTGTATGGCATGCTTAAGCCTTTCCTACTTAACCACCTTTCTCCTGTCCAAAGAGTGTTGCCAATAGGTGGTGCCCTTTATTTTAGAGTAAGGAGGTACTCCCATCATGTTTTTATTGCCATCTGGGGGCATTCAACTCCTGTCTGTCCTGGTCACCAAGTCAGAAAGTGATGGGAAATGCTACATTTGTGAAACAGGAGGTGACGGGAAATCTGTCAATAAGCACAAATTAATTAATGAGACGACCAAGAGGCCTTACCCCTGCTTTGAAGAGTAATAGTCTGGCCTCTACATGCACTTTATGACCTTTGTGACAAAGCAACCAGTTTCAGGGAACTGAACAGGAACTAATAAACATAACAGTAGGCAGCTTGTAGTAGGACGGGATATTTACTTTTAAATGTTTGAACCAGCCATCAGGTTATTTTAAAGTGTTTTATTGACATTTGATTGGCACGCCATGCAATTGATTTCAGACATAAGTAATAATAATGCCTGTGGGTGACTTTCCCCCTTTTTAACTCCTTCTCGGAAAGGACAGGACTGCCAGGGGTTGGAATTTTACAGCCCATCTACCCACTTTATTCAAAATAAGCTCATTCCAGGGATGTCATCCTACTCTTCCCTTTCCTGCACCAGAGGCATGTTTACATAAAAATATCTATGTGCAATCAAATCACTGCATATCAGATGCCTATAGGTAGGTTCAGTTTTGGGGATACTAAAGCCCATCCAGACAACCATGCAACAGAACCTCCTAACAATTTTCAACATGGACTCTAGAGGCAGGTCAGATAAACTGAAGTCACCCTATAAAATCTGGATCTCACTAAACAAGTTCTGTATCCTAAAACTGCTGGACCATGACACTCAGGATAAAAATGAAGGACGATGAGGTGAATTTATAAAAACTGGAGCAGACAGGATCTGTAGCAGTTGCCCATGGCAACCAATTAACTTTTCTCTTTCATTTTGAAAGCTTAACTGAACAAACCGAAAGGTGAAGCTGGTTGGTTACTATGGGCAACCGCTCTAGATCCTGCCTGCTCCAGTTTTGATAAATCCCGTCTAAAGTATTTTGGATTACCATAAACAATCTCTATATCCTAAGGCTGGAAAACCATATTATAGGTTGTCTTCCACTTATTTTCCACTAAAGAAATTAAAAAAAGTCATATTTATCACAAAGTTGGAAAAGAAAGTGTTTTATAGCTATGGTTAAGAAAAGGATACACATCTTTCATTTGCTCGATAGTTGGAGCTCGGATAATATCATTTATTCCAATAATATTCTCATGCTTGAAGCGCAACAAGATTTTGATCTCTCTCAGTGTTCTCTGGCAGTATGTTTGATGTTCAAAAGGGCTGATTTTCTTGATAGCAACTCGGACTTTGTTCACGTTGTCATATGCAGAACTAGAAAGGAAAAAAATAAAATACTGAAATTTTGCTAGATTTTACAGAACAAATTAGAACACAAATTTCATCTGTCACCTATTGGTGTATACAATAAGGCAAAGCGCATCAAGCAAAGTCAGTTACTGCAACCAATCAGCATTCATCTTTAATGTAAACAGAAATTTGACTGGCTGAGTTTGAGTTAATGTGATCAATAGAACCTTTCTACTCTTAAAACTTTGTTGATAAGCCATGAAATGTGTATTCTTTATTTTGAATCACTTATTGTTTCAAACTAAAAAAAAAAAAAAATCTAACATGAGTTGCAGCATTTAATCTAAAATAGACACAAAAGGTTTAAAAGTGTCAATCTGCGACTTGCATTGGTTGCAGTCCTCGGTTCAGTAACCAGCACAACACTTCTAACAAAGCTATACCCGAACACACAGATGCACGCATAAGCACAACTACATGTACGTCATTCAGAGGTAACTGGATACCGTTTTAGATTTTTTCTAGTTAGCTGCAAGTAAACCTGCCAGTAGCTAAAAATAACACCTGAAGATAATGAAGTCTCTACATAGAAGATACTTAAGTGTTACTGCACAATCCACCTTTACACACTTTTTAGAGCTTCCAATGCCTTTCATGCGTTTTGCACACATTCTAATCCACAATTTAGGCCAGAAAATGACTTAAAACCCCAAACATATTCTGAAAGCAAAGACCTGGTAAAATAAAATGGTGGCAGTTGCCAATTTTTATGTTGTACGATATTAGCGCAACTTTCTACCAAACTAAAAAATGTTGTAAAAAAAGTGCACTGAGAACTATGAGGCGAGTGAGTTTTTCCACACATCCTCATGGTTAGAGCCGACCTGTGACAAAGAAGCTGTCACAGATCGGCTCTGTTGATCGGGAAGTGACCGAACACATGCCGCCGATCCACTCACTTTCCGATCATCTCCCTGCAGAAAGTGGTGACAGTCATCGCTCCCTGCAGGGATTCCCCCCTCCCCTCCAGCACTGAGTGGAGGAACGGATGGGGGAGGAGGTGGGCAGAGCAAGTCATCACTTACGCAGCTGGGTGGATCCAGACAGTATTGTAGGCACACCCGACACGTTTGTACCCTAGAATAAACTGTAAGTGAAATCTTCTGTGGATTCTGTAGATCAAAACAATTATGCTTTGTAAGCGCTAAACAGCGGCGGACTCGAGCAGTGAAATATATACTGTCTAAATCAGGGGTCTCAAACTCAATTTAGTCGGGGGCGACTGGACACATATATTATGTATACTATATATACGGTACCAGTGTTAATGTCTGCATATGTTGCAATCGGCGGCTGCCACCCATTCAAATTGGTGGTCGGGTGGCGGCTGCTGCGTGTACGCGCCTGCACACCGCATGTCGTCATATTTGAAAGGATTGCATGCGGTTAGGAATCTGCCACTATCCGTGGTTACACAATTGTTTATCCAGGGATGGTGATTGTTTTTGTAGCTGCACGTGATCATATAACGTACCGTTGCATGCGGTGTGCGGGCGTGTGCGTGCGGCGGCTGTTGCCCGATCATTAGTTTGAATGGGTGACAGTTGCTGCATGTAAACGTCAGATTAGGGATTCCTGCTGCAGGAAAACACTATCATCTTCCTTCCTCCGTCCTTTCCCTTTCCACAAACCCTCTTTCTTCCCCGTTTTTTATATACATTTGTACCCTAATATGCACAAACTTGCAAGGGTGAGGAACTTTAAATTTTTATTATTTTTACTTCATTTTATAGTTTTTTTAAACCTAATTGCTATCGCATTACCTATGTGACAGCATACTATTGATGACGGGTCAATTAGACCCCTAATATCACCTTTGCACTCCAAAGGTTATAGACAAATTATGCTGGGTGTTCAATTCAGATAATTTCCATATTACCATAGCAGCACTCCCAGTTTTTGACACTAGGACAAAACTTAAGTTATATCTAGAGATCTAAACAGCTCTGTCTATAGAAACTATATGAAAATGTTGCCTAGTTGTAAATGCTTTAAAAAAATATATGAATACATGCTATGCTATCTTTAGTTATTAAAACAACAGGGTTACACGTGAGCTCAACATTAGACTTTCAGGCATTTACATTAACATTTGTATGCAGAGCTGGTGAAATTATGGTTGCTATGCCAACTAGAAAGTGTCCCCTGGCAACCAGAATGCCGGTGCCAGAGTGATCCCAATAGCGCTCCTTAGTGGGCCAAACCAGTCAATAGAGTGCCAAGTACAACATCTGATATAGAGGAAACAGCTGGGTACCTTTTTGGTAAACTCCAGGAGGAAGTCTCCCATAAACTTGGGTACCTCCCTTTACTGTCTGCATGTCTCAAAGATTTTTGGAGCCCAGGGCTTTGCGGCTGAACAGTGTCCCTGGCCTAGGAATGGGAAGCTTGGGAGCAGTAAAGACTTTTTGGCTTCAGACAGAAAAAGCTCTCCCTGTTTGAAGCTGCTTTGCCGAGGTAAAAGGGTACTCTTGCCAACACTTCTAAAATGTGGAATATAACATGGGTGCAAAAATTGAAAAAAGGACCTCAGTCATGAAGGGGTTAAAGTTATCAAAGAAGCACCAAAGAGATGTTTTTTCAAAATGCACATGCAGTAAGCGTGTTTGCACTGTTCTCAATTGCTGTATTCGAGTACAGAAAGTGCTTGACCTGTTATTTCCTGGGCAGAGCCTGCTGTCATCTGACAGCTATGAACCCGGAAGAGCATGGGGAGATTAATGAGTTGGGTTCCGCTTCTGCTCAACATAGAAGTGATTAAGCAGCTTTACAGCCACCCTTATCACTGCAGTGCCGTCCGTCCGTTTTTCTACTACGGGCGGACGGCAAGAGGTTAAAGCCAGGTGTCGGAAAAAAACAGGCGGCGTGTCCCGTGGAAAAAGATACATGTACCTATTTCCAACGATTGCCGCACAGATGTAACCCCATTGAATAAAATGGGGCCACGAGGCAAACGCACACGATTGCATGCCCTGGGATCGCCCAGTATGCACCTGGCCTTGAAGAACTCCACTTTTTTTAATAAAACCAACTTGCAGTGGAGGCTACCCCTGAATTGCAAGCGTTAAGTGCTTGTTTTTCTATAGGGGCCAAAATAAGGATATATTCACCGGATCTTGCGGCAATCAGCACACGTCTCTCTCTCCCCCTTCATCCTGGCTATGAATGTCCCCCGGAACCCTCAAGTCTAATGCAAGTCAATGGACCTGCATTAGATGTGATGACAGCCAAGGGCAGGAGGCGCTGCAGGGACTGATCTAGCAGCCAGGCAGGACTGAGGATCAGGTGAGTATATTAAAAACTTTATTTGACCAAAACTAGCAGTTAACCCTTGCAGTGCAAATTTTTTTTTTTTTTAATCCTACAATTTCTCTTTAAAAATCGCTTCTTACATTTTTAATGGATATTTCCATTTTAACAGCCAAATTTGTCTGTTAAAATGTTTGAGTTCCCATTCACATAGCATACCCAAAATGTAAAAAAGTTAACTTTTTAGATGTTTCTTTGGAGTAAGACTATACATAGGACTGCACAAATACACAGGGCAGATTCTAGTGGTTAGAATAGATTTTTTTAAAGATTATTAACAAATAGGTATTTAACCCTTTCTTAGAACAGAGTCCTGCTCATCTAGTTTACATGTGATTATGAAATCTGCCAGAACGGGACAATTATTTGAAATAAAACTTCCCCCAGACAGTGTTATCCCAGTTTGTCTGCAAAAGTGGAAATACACAAAGTGCTACCTAGCTTAACCCCTGTGTAATGTTAAGAAGAGGGCTGTGGGAAGATTTAACAAACCCTGTCTGCACTGTGCTGGCAGATTTCATTATCAGTTATAAACTAGCTTTAAACAGTCCTAAAAAAGGGTTAAAAATGTAGAAGCATTCAATGCTAATAAGCTGAAACAATGTGGGAAATAAACTGATTTTTTAAGAAGGTGCTACTATGTAACTTCCTTGTTTTTCCCACTGGACATTAATACGTGTATTTCAGATACCAGCGGACACCAAAGGATAATACGTTATATGAAACGTATTATCCTTTGGTGTCAGCTGTTTAGCATATATGAATGAGAGCACACTATACAAAAACAGATCTACATACCTGAAGATTTATAATTGTATGTCATGCTTTTTTGTTTTTTTTAAAAACCAGTGATATGATATCTCCAAAACTGATATTTTATCTAATAAACTCTTTTTGTAATTGAAATACTTGTCCCGATCCTCTGTTAACCCTTTTTAAACCAGCCACTCTTGTTAGCTGGTTTATCTTTTTGGTATATATGGTTCATTTTGGTTACGGATCTGGTTGACAAGTAATTATGAGATAAAGGGTAATTTAAATGGTTCGGATCTCCAGGCAGAAACAAAATCGTTTTCTATTAGTACTGCAGCGCCGCATGGGGGCTGGGCACAAAAATGCTGTTTAACTGCATATAATATTTAAAAATAGACAATAAAGAAATAACTATGTAGATATTGCTAACTAAGGCTTGTATCCCTATAGTGGGGAAAATAGATGAGCACATGTCCAGACTGTATAGTGTGGCACAGCTATATCCAATTCTGCATACCTGGCTTTATATTATAAAAATGTTTTAATATAAAGCCAGTTATACAGAATTGGATATAGCTGTGCCACACTATACAGTCTTCTGGAGTCTGGACATGTGCTCATCTATTTTCCCCACTATAGGGATACAAGCCTTAGTTAGCAATTGCATGATCTAAATATTCATTTCATTATTCATTATAAAAATTAAAAAAAAAGACTGATTAATAAAATGAACTGAATATTTAGATCATGCTATTGCTAACCAAGGCTTGTATCCCCATAGTGGGGAAAATAGATGATCACATATCCAGACTCCAGAACAGTGTATTATTGTATAGTGTGGCACAGCTATATCCAATTCTGCATACTTGGCTTTATATTATATTATAAAGTTCTTAGAATTG